TTAGTAATTGAGCTCGAAATATATGCTTATTGTTGTTGTTACTAATGGATTTGTGAAGCTATTCAATAACGTTGTATATCTTGTGTAAACAATTTCACGAACAACCTTTTAAACACTTCAGAGACGAAAAAACTGAAAACGCATTGCTAGATGGATATTGATAAAAAAATGCCAAACTGGACGGTACCTGGTGACGCAGAAATGGTGTGAGCTAACTCAAATGGGAACATGAGATTAAACATTTATTTTTAGCGATAATGGTTCTAGCTTCCGCAGTTTACATGGTTGTTGGTAAGTCATGGATCCAAACCTTAGTAACAGTTTAATAATGGAATCTTGTACATTCTTGTTTGATTTTATCGTACCTTTTTAAATTTGTGAATACTATTGGGCAATTTTCTGAAGCATTGGCGCGTATAGGAGTTATACATAGCTAGCGTAGAGCCTTTCAAATGTACTGCATTGAAAATACGTGCTATGATATATATCTCCTTAGCGGTGACATGATATACCTGTTCGGAGAAATTGAAAGAGCTTGAGTAGCGAACTCTGAGGTCACGAATCGTTGTGTAGCAAGTAATTGGCTTGTCATCCAACAGTATGTCATAATAAGTTTGCATCCGAAGAATAGGAGTTACACTTGCCTACAGAGAATGTCCTTTTCCAATCTCGGCACATCGTTGAAACGCGAACAACTTCACTTGCAATGCTTGAGCACCATTTGTTCATCTATGTTATCAAAAGCGGACACAACCTTGATATCATCCGCGAAATGAAAGGATCTGCCACGTCGAAAGATTCGGGAAATGTCACTTATCTATAGTAGGAATAACAGTGGGCCAAAACATATCCATTTATGACACCGCTGGTAACTGCTATGTGCAAAAATACATGGTTTCCCACACTGACACATTGGGTGCATATAGAGAAGAAAAACTACAGCCATGCTAATAATGAGTTAGCAAACCCATACGAAATTACCATTGTTAGATGTTCTGCATACGGTAAGCGTTGGAATACTTTTTCCCTGTATAAGAATAGATTGAACGTCGACTGCCCGAAGTTAGCCGAATTTGTTACGTAGTCCAGAAATTCAAAATGGCAGCTTTGACATGAATGACCACGCAGAAATCCATGTTTCGATCTGTCGATCAGATATTGTGAATTAAGAAATCCCGTGACTCTTTCTTTGCATATTCTTTCCATACTACGGTCAGTTTGGTAGTATGGTCAAATGGGGCGGTAATGTTATATCTCATGACTTGATCTTGGGACATAAGCTTTCTTTCATGTCGGTACTGCAAGCCTTTCATTATTTTGTCAGTTTGCATGATCATAGATATATCACTAGAATTTTTATTGAGATTTTTTGAGGTTATTTCTTGCTTTATTTATTTCTGCATAATGAATTTGTTTCAACAAATTAAATTAAATTCTGTTTTGCGGCATTCTGTGTTTTCATTCGCATATATACTTGCAGCATATAATATGATATTCTAATGTCGCCGTGCCATTTAGCATTTGTGTCCATCTTCGTACTAGATCATTGACTGTGCAAAGCTCTTCTCAATATGTTTGCTTATGTTTGGGTTTTCAACTTTTTTCATTAAAGTATTCAAAGTTTTACGGCCAGAACAAGTAGATGAACGTTCGAAGGTAGCTTATAATCTCATGCATCCAGCTGCTGGGTCTTTCGTGTGTTTAGCAACAAAACAAACCAAAGGCTCTGTGACTACCTCATATCAAGTCACCAGCAAGACGTCTGGTCATTATGAACGGTCCTGTTTCATCCGATATAATTATTTAGCATTGGTAAGCCCTATGAGCAGTACTGTCTAAATGTGTAAAACCCATATAATAAAATACGTCTAAATCCCGTGAATGACGGATGAATGCGATTTAGCCAAGTAGTTTGGGCCTACCCTTGGTTAAACTAAGTGAAGATAGAAATATCCAACGGTAGTAAAAACAAATTTTATCCAACTACTCATTAAAAGTCAGTAACCTTAGTATCTTATATGCTACTGTAATTAGTGGCGACTCTTGGGGCACGACCTGTAACTTAATAGAAGATATGCTAGTGGATAATGAGCTGTGCTGTCTCATATATAGAACTCCGTCATAAACGTTTGTGCCACCACCAATTTTTCAATGGCGTAAGTCACTGAATGGTCATCATCATCATCATCATACACGTTAGTTAGAGGTGGGAAACACCTCAGATACTGTGTCGCAACACTGAATGGTCAATTTAAGATCAACGGCTCAGAGTCGCCAGGGCCCAGTAGGCGCATCTACTGATTAGTCACAATATGAATTCACGGTGGTCCAGCACAGTCATTTGTGTATGCTGGCTGTCTGAGTGAGTTTAGCGGTGAAGATTTCTTTACAAATGTTAAAACCAATATATGTTTAATCCTCAGGTTTTAATGAAGTTCCTGGATATCCAGCCCACATTTATGTCGGGAAAATTTGAATACCATATTTGGCATGTGTCAACTGCGATTGCGCGTCCTAAACATTTTCACATTCAACACGGTAAAACGTTCGTCAAATCGCATTGCTGCAACGAAATCAAGCGGTTGTTACCTCATAATATTCATCTGTCTAATAAATCGAATTCTCCAATTTTCCGAGAGCCTGCTATTCACCAGCCGGCTTGGCCCCAGCCAGAACACGTGTGTGTAATTTTTCGAAATAACATGAGTTTTTGTAACAAAGGAAAATGTCCCCACACATTGGAGAACTTTGACCATACTTGCTGTCAGCTCTACACTACATGACCGGTTTCAAAATTTCGGACTCTTCAGGTAGATATGACTTCTGTCGCGAAGAAAAGCAGGTCTAATATTTTGGCAGCCGACGCCCTACCTATATAAGTTTTAAGCATCTTGACCAACAAAAGTGAAGTGGATATAAATTTAGTGAGTGTCCCCTTTCCATTTCACGTTAAAACGTCTTGAGATGGACTATGGTGTTATATTAAACCACGTCTTGCTACTCTAATTCTTGCGAGAGCTTCCGAATTTAAGCTATTCTGCAATACATTTTCCATTAACTACACTTACAAAAGAGTTGGTTTCATATATCTTAATCCGGTTGTAGCGATCCTGTCTAAAAGCCGGAGATTAAATACACTTGCTGACGTTTAAAATTGTAATCAGCTGGCCATTTAGTCATCCCAATAGCAAGTGAGCAAATAAGCCTGTTACTTCTATATACAAGTCCCGTCAATTGTACACAATACATGCATTAGCAAAGACTGATATAACGTAATGTATCTTTGTTATACTGCCGAATGTTGATACGAAATGGGTTGATTCGATGAATACTAAAAGAATAAAGAATTGACGGACGGAGAAGATGTAAATTTTTTAAATTGAGCTCCAGAGCCAAAGTTACATAAAAGTCAGTCGGAATGAAAAATGCAAAGATTCATTGCACTTCCTAGATATCTGACTACTATACATAGTATGGTAATAGCATGTAGGTTATATAAAGTTGTCTACTTACGAATTAACATGGGTATAGTCAAAAATTAATAAGCTTTCTAAGGCTCCGCATTGCTTCTAATCAAGCTTTGGCTACTACATTTGCTAGGTAAGGAGATGTTGCGCGGAAAACATTCGGGCGGATGCACATACCTGTATGAATAATAGGCAAGGGTTAGTGATGTAAGGCTACAAATAATAGGCCATTAACTTCTATTTTCAACTCATACTGCCATACCAACAAAAGTGAATTAATTATCGGGTATGTTAAGGCAAAGAGAAGACAGAGGTTGCGATATGTTAACATTTCGATTGTTCTCCTCAGTCGCAAACACAATACGATCAGAAACATACAAGGGATTATATACATGGGGAAAAAAGGCACCACCAATCAAAATGTCACAGTCAAGACCATGGCAACCGAATGGATTGCCTCAAGAGTTTCTGTGCACATAGCACAGGTTGATAAGCCTTAATTAACAACGCCTCACTAATTGCTAGCATTATCGGGTTTTGTTACGTAATAACACTTTGAACGCTGTCTCGGGGTTTACGTGATGACGGGTTGTCATGAGGTGCTTGGTGATAGACGATGCCGGGCTCCGATTGATTCTCAGATTCGTCCCATGTTGTTGCGTAATCACTTGTCCCAACCACTTTGGCAAGTGTTCAGCTACCCTCTGAGCTAACTGACGGTTTGTTCTGCCTATGTAAATGTCACCGCAACCGCAGGTGAACTGATAAACAACGTGAGAGGCCGAACTACCCGACGAGATGCTCTGACGGTTATGAAGAACAAGTGCTCGCGTGGTATGCCTGAGTCGCAACTGGGCTGTCGTGTAGGTTCGCGTTAGGGCGGACCGGAGCTTGCGTCCGATGTCATTTGCCACATGGTCCCCCTTGAACGGCAAGAACAAATAAACATTCTTTTTCTCAGCCGTCAACACCGGTGTTTTCACACTGGGAGGTCTGCTGTGTACCTGAATAAACTTCTCAGGATATCCATTAGAAATTAATGTCTTGCGTAGAAATTCTTCTTCGGCTTGTAACGTTTCGGGGCTACAAATACGCCTAGCCCGGTAGAATAGAGTTCTCACTAACCCGCGTTTGTATGCGATCGGGGCGAAGCTTGAAAAATGAAGGTACTGTCCAGTCCAAGTCGATTTGCGGTGAACAGTGCGCTGCAACGTACCTTCAGCCTGTCGCTTAATGAGTATATCCAAAAACGCCAGGCAGTGGTGTTTTTCCACTTCATGGGATACGGACAGATTAGGGTGAATCGAATTTAGGATGGTCAGCAGCCGATTAAAATGTTCTCCGCTGGTGAAGACTAAAATGTCATCCACATATCGTCTATACAATTTCGCTTCACCAATGCTCTCAGCAACTTGTCTTTCTATCAGGCCGAGGAAGATGTCGGCTAAAACTGGTCCCAGCGGGCTGCCCATAGCGACCCCGTCGATCTGTTTGTATGCGGTCCCCTCAAATTCAAACCGTATGTTTTCGGTGCACAATAGAATCATATCCTTTAAATACTCCACTGGCAGGCCAACAGAGATATTTTGACTCAGGATAAAATCACATAAATTATCAACCGTCTCACGTAAAGGCACATTTGTGAATAAGGAGTCCACATCTATTGAGTACATAAGCTCTCCACTCAGTGACAATTGTTCCAGTGTCTCAGCCAGTTCAAAGGAGTCCTTCAGGCAATACGTAGCGAGGAGTTTACGCACCGGATCTAATAGTTTGGCCAGCCACCGCGCGACATTGTGGTAAGGTGAATTGTTCATGCACATAATCGGACGTAGCGGAAATCCTGCTTTGTGTATCTTGGGAGCGCCTCGCATTCTAGGTGTCTGTGTCCCGGTCGGTTTTAAGTGCCTGTACTGTGACTCATTGATGTAACCATGTAGCAGAAGAATCTGGAGCTTCCTTGCCACCTGCTTCTCCACCAGGATGTTGTTTTCCGGTGTATTATCTAGCTGGAACTTCCGAGTGTCTCCCAGAATGGACTCCATCTTCGAAATGTAGTCATGCCTGTTCATTACTACAATACCCGATCCCTTATCCGGCTGCAGGAACATTACGTGCTTCATTTGTTTCAACTCCTTTATCGCCGTATAGTGTTCAGGTTGCAGACAGCACCTCTGACTTATCGGCGTACACAGAAACTGGTTCGCAATGTCTACCAATTTCGCCCGAAACCAACCCGCATCTTCTGTCGATCTTGGCGTGAGGTCACTGAGCTGTTCATTCAGATACTCAAAATGCGCCTGCGTGGTGACTTTGTCTAGCGCTTTTGGCGGCAGTCGGTATTTCATTCCAAGCGAGAGAACTTCCAATTGAGTGCGCGTGAACTGAGCAGAGGACAAATTGTATACGTGCTTCAAGCAATCAGTAGGAAAGGAAGCATTGGTGGCTTTAGCAAGAGAACCCTGCAGACTGCGCACTGTTTTTGCTCTCGTGCGACGGAGAACTTCAGCGGAAAAGGCCTCAAATTTTAATCGACAAACCAACGGCAACTCATTGAGTGTGCAAGCGAATCGCCTCTGCGTCTCGAGAAATTTCCGTTCTCGTTCCAGACAGGCGTCGATATGCGCCGACGCGATCCTGGCCAGATTGGTGTTGTTTATCGGCAACTTGTTCCTAGACAAGGTCTTGGCGAATCGCCGCGGGAAGGAACCTGAGCGGATACATTCCTCAAAAAACTTCACACGGACGCGTTCAACAGCTAACTTGCAGCGCAGAGACAACAACCGGTCTAATGCTCTCGCAACGGTAGCGGGGAGTCTTCTTTTCAGAAAAGTAAAACAGTGGGTCCCCTTAAGCCATTTCGTTAAGGCAGAGAGAAGACAGAGGTTGCGATATGTTAACATTTCGATTGTTCTCCTCAGTCGCAAACACAATACGATCAGAAACATACAAGGGATTATATACATGGGGAAAAAAGGCACCACCAATCAAAATGTCACAGTCAAGACCATGGCAACCGAATGGATTGCCTCAAGAGTTTCTGTGCACATAGCACAGGTTGATAAGCCTTAATTAACAACGCCTCACTAATTGCTAGCATTATCGGGTTTTTGTTACGTAATAACACTTTGAACGCTGTCTCGGGGTTTACGTAATGACGGGTTGTCATGAGGTGCTTGGTGATAGACGATGCCGGGCTCCGATTGATTCTCAGATTCGTCCCATGTTGTTGCGTAATCACTTGTCCCAACCACTTTGGCAAGTGTTCAGCTACCCTCTGAGCTAACTGACGGTTTGTTCTGCCTATGTAAATGTCACCGCAACCGCAGGTGAACTGATAAACAACGTGAGAGGCCGAACTACCCGACGAGATGCTCTGACGGTTATGAAGAACAAGTGCTCGCGTGGTATGCCTGAGTCGCAACTGGGCTGTCGTGTAGGTTCGCGTTAGGGCGGACCGGAGCTTGCGTCCGATGTCATTTGCCACATGGTCCCCCTTGAACGGCAAGAACAAATAAACATTCTTTTTCTCAGCCGTCAACACCGGTGTTTTCACGCTGGGAGGTCTGCTGTGTACCTGAATAAACTTCTCAGGATATCCATTAGAAATTAATGTCTTGCGTAGAAATTCTTCTTCGGCTTGTAACGTTTCGGGGCTACAAATACGCCTAGCCCGGTAGAATAGAGTTCTCACTAACCCGCGTTTGTATGCGATCGGGGCGAAGCTTGAAAAATGAAGGTACTGTCCAGTCCAAGTCGATTTGCGGTGAACAGTGCGCTGCAACGTACCTTCAGCCTGTCGCTTAATGAGTATATCCAAAAACGCCAGGCAGTGGTGTTTTTCCACTTCATGGGATACGGACAGATTAGGGTGAATCGAATTTAGGATGGTCAGCAGCCGATTAAAATGTTCTCCGCTGGTGAAGACTAAAATGTCATCCACATATCGTCTATACAATTTCGCTTCACCAATGCTCTCAGCAACTTGTCTTTCTATCAGGCCGAGGAAGATGTCGGCTAAAACTGGTCCCAGCGGGCTGCCCATAGCGACCCCGTCGATCTGTTTGTATGCGGTCCCCTCAAATTCAAACCGTATGTTTTCGGTGCACAATAGAATCATATCCTTTAAATACTCCACTGGCAGGCCAACAGAGATATTTTGACTCAGGATAAAATCACATAAATTATCAACCGTCTCACGTAAAGGCACATTTGTGAATAAGGAGTCCACATCTATTGAGTACATAAGCTCTGCACTCAGGGACAATTGTTCCAGTGTCTCAGCCAGTTCAAAGAAGTCCTTCAGGCAATACGTAGCGAGGAGTTTAGGCACCGGATCTAATAGTTTGGCCAGCCACCGCGCGACATTGTGGTAAGGTGAATTGTTCATGCGCATAATCGGCCGCGATTCGCCAATACCTTTCTAGGAACAGGTTGCCGATAAACAACACCAATCTGGCCAGAATCGCGTCGGCGCATATCGACGCCTGTGTGGAATGAGAACGGAAATTTCTCGAGACGCAGAGACGATTCGCTTGCACACTCAATGAGTTACCTTTGGTTTGTTAATTAAAATTTGAGGCCTTTTCCGCTGAAGTTCTCCGTCGCACGAGAGCAAAAACAGTGCGCAGTCTGCAGGGTTCTCTTGCTAAAGCCACCAATGCTTCCTTTCCTACTGATTGCTTGAAGCACGTATACAATTTGTCCTCTGCTCAGTTCACGCGCACTCAATTGGAAGTTCTCTCGCTTGGAATGAAATACCGACTGCCGCCAAAATCGCTAGACAAGCTCACCACGCAGGCTCAATTTGAGTACCTGCATACACAGCTCAGTGGCCTCACCCCAAGATCCACGTAAGATGCGGGTTGGTTTCCGATGAAAGTTTTAAATATTACGAACCAGTTCTTGTGTACGCTGATAAGCCAGAGTTGCTGTCTGCAAACTGAACACTATATAGCGATCAGGGAGTTGAAACAAATGAAGCACGTAATATTACTGCAGCCGGATAAGGGATCGGGTATTGTAGTAATGAACAGGCCTGACTACATTTCGAAGATGAAGTCCATTCTGGGAGACACTCGGAAGTTCCAGCTAGATAATACACCGGAAAACAACATCCTGGTGGAGAAGCAGGTGGCAAGGAAGCTCCAGATTCTCCTGCTACATGGTTACATCAATGAGTCACAGTACAGGCACTTAAAACCGACCGGGACACAGACACCTAGAATGCGAGGCGCTCCCAAGATACACAAAGCAGATTTCCGCTACGTCCGATTATGTGCATGAACAATTCACCTTACCACAATGTCGCGCGGTGGCTGGCCAAACTATTAGATCCGGTGCGTAAACTCCTCGCTACGTATTGCCTGAAGGACTCCTTTGAACTGGCTGAGACACTGGAACAATTGTCACTGAGTGGAGAGCTTATGTACTCAATATATGTGGACTCCTTATTCACAAATGTGCCTTTACGTGAGACGGTTGATAATTTATGTGATTTTATCATGAGTCAAAATATCTATGTTGGCCTGCCAGTGGAGTATTTAAAGGATATGATTCTATTGTGCACCGAACACATACGGTTTGAATTTGAGGGGACCGCATACAAACAGATCGACGGGGTCGCGATGGGCAGCCCGCTGGGACCAGTTTTAGACGACATCTTCCTCGGCCTGATAGAAAGACAAGTTGCTGAGAGCATTGGTGAAGCGAAATTGTATAGACGATATGTATCTGACATTTTAGTCTTCACCAGCGGAGAACTTTTTTATCGGCTGCTGACCATCCTAAATTCGATTCACCCTTATCTGTCCGTAACCCATGAAGTGGAAAAATACCACTGCTTGGCGTTTTTGGATATACTCATTAAGCGACAGGCTGAACGTACGTTGCAGCGCACTGTTCAACGCAAAACGACTTGGACTGGACAGTACCTTCATTTTTCAAGATTCGCCCTGTTCGCATACAATCGCGGGTTAGTGAGAACTCTATTCTACCGGGCTAGGCGTATTTGTAGCCCCGAATCGTTACAAGCCGAAGAAGAATTTCTACGCAAGACATTAATTTCTAATGGATATCCTGAGAAGTTTATTCAGGTACACAGCAGACCTCCCAGCGTGAAAACACCGGTGTTGACGGCTGAGAAAAAGAATGTTTATTTGTTCTTGCCGTTCAAGGGGACCATGTGGCAAATGACATCGGACGCAAGCTCCGGTCCGCCCTAACGCGAACCTACACGACAGCCCAGTTGCGACTCAGGCATACCACGCGAGCACTTGTTCTTCATAACCGTCAGAGCATCTCGTCGGGTAGTTCGGCCTCTCGCGTTGTTTATCAGTTCACCTGCGGTTGCGGTGACATTTACATAGGCAGAACAAACCGTCAGTTAGCTCAGAGGGTAGCTGAACACTTGCCAAAGTGGTTGGGACAAGTGATTACACAACAACATGGGACGAATCTGATTATCAATCGGAGCCCGGCATCGTCTATCACCAAGCACCTCATGACAACCCGTCATTTCGTAAACCCCGAGACAGCGTTCAAAGTGTTATTACGTAACAAAAACCCGATAATGCTAGCAATTAGTGAGGCGTTGTTAATTAAGGCTTATCAACCTGTGCTATGTGCACAGAAACTCTTGAGGCAATCCATTCGTTTGCCATGGTCTTGACTGTGACATTTTGATTGGTGGTGCCTTTTTTCCCCATGTATATAATCCCTTGTATGTTTCTGATCGTATTGTGTTTGCGACTGAGGAGAACAATCGAAATGTTAACATATCGCAACCTCTGTCGTCTCTTTGCCTTAACGAAATGGCTTAAAGTTACCCACAGTTTTACTCATCGAGTATGTTTTAACAGAAAATGACTAAATTAATTCGCATTTCAGTACGCCTCCTATAAACTAACTCACTCTATCGG